GGCTGAGATGGAAAAGCTGGCTCCTGGTTGATTTCGGAAGCGGTGAGCAAGGGACAGGAAGCGTTCTCAAACACACCCATTCCCAGCTGGAGGTTTCTTATCAGGAGGCACCTTCCTTTGTTTGCAGATCGTTCAACAGATGCTATCCTGCCTTTTTCTCCCCGCAAAAGCCAAAAATAAATTTCTGAGCTTTGTGGAAGTAAGCAGGAGTTATGGATTCGATATTTAGATTCCCTGGAGTGTGTATTGTCAAGGTTGTATCTGGACCAGGCATGGGCAAACTTTAAGTCGCTCCTCATAGGGCTTTTTTTCCAGACCCTTGATTACTTTAGTCGCCCTCCTCTGGGCACATTCCAGCTTGTCAATATCTCTCTTCATGAGTTCTCACTTGACTTGAATGCTCGGCGCCATCAGCACCAATTAGAATTAGATTCCATGGACTGAAAATCTGGAGTTGATGAGTATGATGTATAATTTTGTACAGGAATGAATACTGATGGGGTGTTTCTGGGTTTTACGATATGCATACGGTGCTTTTTAAAATAAAAAAGGGGAAAAAATCTGTGCTGGAGACTTTTCTATCCCTGTGGCCCATGCTACACTGGCATATAATCCAGATTATCAAAACAGATAATCCACATTATCTGCTTTGAACTCCACCGGGACTGTGGTGCAGCTGGCTGGGAGTAGGCTGCATTAAGATCACTACTGACCAGGTCATGAGTTCGAAGCCAGCCCGGGTCAGAGTGAGCTTCCGACCAATTTGTGTAGCTTGCTGTCGACCTTTGCAGCCTGAAAGACAGTTGCATCTGTCAAGTAGGAAATTTAGGTACCGTTTCTGTAGGGAGGCTAATTTACGATGCCATAAAATCTCCAGCAAGCATGCAAAGAATGAGGAAGTACTTCATCAGTGTCACAAATGGACGGTGAAGTGACAGCTCCCCCGGTGGCCAGAATACCCTCATGAAAAAGCTGGAATGTTAAATAGCCTCTGTGTGTCTGTCTATATATGTTGTGTGTCTATGCCATTGAATATTTGCCATGTATATCTACATTGTAATCCACCCCGAGTCCCCTGCGGGTTGAGAAGGGCGGAATATAAATACTGTAAATAAATAAATAATTAAAATATATGAGTCTACACTGCCGTATAATCCAGTTCAAATCAGATAATCTGGATTTTTATGGCAGTGTAGAAGGGGCCTGAGAAATCTCTAGAAAGCAGAACTTTGAAAGGATCTTCAACGTGAGTGGTAGCATCTTAACGTTAAAACCAATTTCCCTAGTTTCCAACAGACCTCACAACCTCTGAGGATGCTTGACATAGATGCAGGCAAAACGTCAAAAGAAAATGCTTCTAGAACATGGTCATACAGCACAAAAAACCTACAGCAACCCAAACCATTGAAAGATAGAATATGAATTCTGTTGAAATAATATTATTTAAAACTACTAAAATGGCCAGATATACCATTTTTGGTATAATGATACAACTTGAAAACCTGACGATAAAAAAAAAGTTAAGTAAAGGTTTCCCTTTGACATTAAGTCTAGTTGTGTCCGACTCCGGAGGGTGGTGCTCATCTCCATTTCTAAGCCGAAGAGCCGCGTTGTCCGTAGACACCTCCAAGGTCATGTGGCCGGCGTGATTGCATGGAGTGCTGTTGCCTTCCTGCAGAAGCAGTACCTATTGATCTACTCACATTTGCATGTTTTCAAACTGCTAGGTCGGCCCCTGGTGGCGCAGTGGGTTAAAGCACTGAGCTGCTGAGCTTGTTGATCGAAAGGTCGCAGGTTCGATTCCGGGGAGCGGTGGGAGCTTCCGCTGTCAGCCCTAGCTTCTGCCAACCTAGCAGTTCGAAAACATGCAAATGTGAGTAGATCAATAGGTACCGCTCCGGCGGGAAGGTAACGGCGCTCCATGCAGTCATGCCGGCCACATGACCTTGGAGGTGTCTACGGACAACGCTGGCTCTTCGTCTTAGAAATGGAGATGAGCACCACACCCCAGAGTCAGACATGACTGGACTTAATGTCAGGGGACTACCTTTACCTTAGGTCGGCAGAAGCTGGGGCTAACAGCAGGAGCTCACCCCACTCCCCGGATTCGAACCTTTTGGTCAGCAAGTTCAGCAGTTTAATCCACTGTTCCACCAGAGCTTCCAGAATTAAACATGTTAAAAGGGAGTTAAACGATTGTATTAAAACATCATTGATATAAAGAAGTATAAAACAATTTAAAACTTGTTTGGAAACAAGAAATATGACTCTTGAGGGTGACACGCCATCGTTGGGATTTAAATAAGCAGGTGGCACATTTCATTTGGGTGTTGGACGATGGTTCCGGAGACCAGAATTCAAATCTTGACTCAGCCATGGAAACCCTTTGGTTGCCTTTGAATGAGTCACACATTCAGCTTTCAGAGGAAGACAAAGGCAAATTTTGCCAAGGAAATCTCAAAACAGGTTCACCGTAGGTAAGAAATGACTTGAAGCCACACACAGGTTTAGTCACAATTAATGTTCCCGCAATGCTTGCTATGATCCCAAATTAGAGGGATTTCTGGGACACGCAGGCTTGTGAAACGTGTGCTATGTTCATTCTCGGAGCTCTCTTTATGTTCTTTTCTCATTCGCAAAACCCATCAGTTTCAAAAATTGTGCCCAGCGGAGGATAGTTGGGTCTATCCCAAGCATGGGCCAACCTTGGCCCTCCCTCCAGGTGTTTTGGACTTCAACTCCCACAATTCCTAACAGCCGGTAGGCTGTTAGGAATTGTGGGAGTTGAAGTCCAAAACACCTGGAGGGAGGGCCAAAGTTGGCCCGTGCCAGGTCTACAGGATAACCTTTGCTGAGGTGTCCACTTCTCTGAAATCCCTTTGTGACCTCTTCCAAATTTATTTATTTACAACATCTCTACTCCGCCCTTCTTAACCCCCGAGGGGAGACTCAGAGCGGCTAACACTGGCAACCATTCGATGCCGCAAATCGCAATATAACAACAATATAAAACCATCAATACACAATAATTTAAAAACAATAACATTAGTTAAACAATCATATTGCCATTTCTGTTATTATCACAATCATATGGTCCAGTTCAATGTCCGAAGTGTCGTGCCTGCTAGCTGAAAGCCTGGTTCCAAAAACCACAATTTCCATTTTTTTTCCTAAAGGAAAGGAGGGAGGACGCCGATCTAATCTCACTGGGGAGCGAGTTTCACAAGAGGGGGGTCACCACCGAGAAGGCCCTGTCCCTCGTCCCCACCGGATGCATTTGTGAGGCTGGTGGGACCAAGAACAGGGCCTCCCTGGTGGATCTTAAACGATGAGGCGGAACATAGAGGGAAATACATTCGGACAAGTAAGCTGGGCCGGGGCTGTATAGGGCTTTATAGGCCAAGACCATGTTGTGGCTCACTTTGAGCCTGAGCTTTCTGAGGCTGAGTTTCCTCAGGATGAGGAGGATGATGGGTTACAGATTTCTGAACATGTCCCTGTTATTGAGGCAGACAGTGTTTATTCTGAAGAAGAGATGGCATTTCTGTTTTCCAGAGAAAGGAATGTTGTTTTAGATAAAGATAGTGAAACTTCACAGCTGCAGGTGGACGAGTCGGCTCCATCTGGGAGTTTAGTGCCTCTTGGTTCCCAGGGTGACCAGTCCCAGGATAATGAGTTTTCGAGCCTTGAAGGTGATAGAGATTTGATTAGGGAGGACCGTATGCAATTAAGGATACGCCGAAGTGTGCGACTTGCCAACAAATGGGAAGTTCGAGGTCAACGTAATGCTTTCATGCTAGGGAAACATATTTAATGATCTCATTGAAGTCAATCCTCAGTGCAATGTTGCTTGCACCCTGTTAACTTCTCTGAAATTATCTCAGCTTTTTGGAAAGCATCTAGCTCTTTGGGACTTTGCTTTCTTAACTTGATTTTTGGGGACCTTGTCATGCTGCCATAGATTCTTGTTTAACCAATGCTAAAGGATTATTCTTCATGTTATTTGCCTTTGGATCTTGGAAACTTTGCCTTTGCATTTAAGACACTGTTTTGGCTATTGAACTTTTGCAACTTTACTTCTATGTTTTTTATTTTGCCTTTTCTTCAATAAACTACAAAACCTACAGCCTTGGTGTGTGGTGGTGTCTTGAGCAAGGTGAATCTATCCTGAGTTGCGACAGACCAGCACTTTGCATTTAAGACACTGTTTTGGCTATTGAACTTTTGCAACTTTACTTCTATGTTTTTTTATTTTGCTTTTTCTTTAGTAAACTACAAAACCTACAGCCTTGGTGTCTGGTAGTGTCTTGAGCAAGGTGAATCTATCCTGAGTTGCAACAGATCAGCACTTTGAATTGTGCTCAGAAATGGACTGGCAGCCAGTGGAGGGGAGTCACCACCGAGAAGGCCCTGTCCCTTGTTCCCACCAGATGCGTTTGCGAGGCTGGTGGGACTGAGAGCAGGACCTCCCCAGTGGATCTTAAACTATGAGGCAGAATGTAGAGGGAAATATGTTCTGACAAGTAAATTGGGCCGGAGCCGTATAGGGCTTTATAGGCCAAGACCAGCACTTTGAATTGTGCTCGGAAATGGACTGGCAGCCAGTGGAGTGGGGTCACTACCAAGACGGACCTGTCCCTTGCATTTGCGAGGCTGGTGGGACTGAGAGCAGGGGCTCCCCAGTGGATCTTAAACTATGAGGAAGAACGTAGAGGGAAAATACGTTCGGACAAGTAAGCTGGGCAGAACTGTATAGGGCTTTATAGGCCAAGACCAGTACTTTGAATTGTTCTCGGAAATGGACCGGCCGCCACTGGATGGGGGGTCACCACTGAGAAGGCCCTGTCCCTCGTTCCCACCAGACGCGTTTGCAAGGCTGGTAGGACTGAGAGCAGGGCCTCCCCGGTGGATCATAAACTCTGAGGCGGAATTCAATGAGACTTCCACTGACCAAAGCTTTCTCTCTCTCCTTCTCTCCCATTTTTTTGTTTCTTCCCCAGATTGTCTCGTATGCTGATCGGCTGTGGATTTATGGAGGGGCCTGGCCGCACCTTTAAGCACTGCCACGCACAACATCCGGCCCGTTGAAGCCCGAACCCCGCTGCTGCCTTGCACAAAGCTGGCGCCCTGAGCCCCCGGGCATCACCATTCGGGTCTCCTGTGCATGGCTCTTGCCGCCTCAGGAAGACTCTTGCTGGGTGCCGCCCCAGCCTGACCTGCGCCAGGCTCCCCTCGCTCCCCGCAAATATTTTACATATCCAGATGGGGTAACGTGACAGCGCAAGAGCAGCGCCGGCAGGTCCACCGAATGCAGAAGCCTTTCTGAAGAGAGCTTAAGAAGGGAAGCCGAACGACGACTACTCTAAATTTGCACACACCAAGGAAATTGACACTACGGCAGATATATATCTATACATTTTTTTTTCCTTTTAAGTATTGGCGGATATATTTTTGTTTTGTTTTGTTTTCCTTTTCATCAGTCGAGCACAGGGTTTCTTTGATTCTAATTGGATGGTTTAGAGAATCCAGCCTACGCTGTGTCCCGAAAACCGGGGAGATTTGCACAAATTTGTGTCGATTCGGTGGGGCAAAGAGAGGGAAAAAGATAGTGTTTTGCCAAACTTTAGGGTCTCTTTTGTTTTCCTTTTGCCCCGAAATTCTCTTCTTCTGCCCCGGCTTTTAGGAGGGCGAATTCTTTGGTTTTGTTCATTTTTCCTCCTCCCCTCCACTCCATCTTATTTTGCCCTTCACCACCAGTACCACCAGTACCACCACCATGGCCCGTATGAACAGACCTGCCCCTGTCGAGGTCTGCTACAAGAACATGAGATTCCTGATCACTCACAATCCTACCAATGCCACGCTGAACACCTTCATTGAGGTAAGTGGAGTTCAGCAATGACTATAATAGCATAAAACTCTTTGCGGTGATATTATTCGTTCATAATAATTGCATAAACCTTCTCAGGGATGGTGCCTTGAATTTTGAGGCTCTGCTGAATGGGACACAAAGTTTCAGCATCTAAAGCAACCTTTCTTGTTGACCAGTGACCACTGTAACCAGGGACCACCTTGACCAGAGACCACTTTGACCAAGGACCATTCTCCAACTTTAGTACCAAAAGGGTTACAAATAGTTTGTTGGTCAACTTTGGATTTGGTTTGGTTATTTGGGGTGCTGATTCAGAAAACTGGATTGGATAGACCACATCAGCTCTAGTTTCTGATATGTATAGTTTCACATATGCCATCCAGTAGTTGCTATCTGCTCACCCACATAAAACAATACTTAACAATCTGAAGCTGATGTAGTAGTGGTAATGTTTCATGGGTAGTCTTCGTTATTGTCTATATGTAAGTTATATTAATTGTATTATTTTATTTGCTTATTGCTTTGTTGTTTTTACTGAAGTGTTGTTGGGCTTGGCCTCATGTAAGCCACTCCGAGTCCCCTTGGGGAGATGGTGGCAGGGTATAAATATATTATTATTATTATTATTATTATTATTATTATTATTATTATTATTATAGTCAGTCTTTCTCCTCCCAACATCCCTGTTGCCTCAGCACTATACGAGGGTTTCGCAAGACAGGTCGCTCTCGTTGCCATGTGGTTTTGAGGCAACGGTGTAGTAATGGTGATTCCGTGGACCATATTTTCATTCTTGCGGACCACTGGTGGTCCACGGACCACAGGTTGGGAACCAATAATCTAAAGGCTCCATAAAAGTTCACAATCCTTCTTTCAGAGAATTTTGTCACTCCAGATGAGTTGGGGGGAAAGGAGGAGGGGCCAAGCAAGGGCAAGGTGGGTCGATGGTATCCTTGAAGTGACTGGCTTGACCTTGAAAGAGCTGGGGGTGACCACGGCCAACAGGAAGCTCTGACCTGTGCTGGCCCAGGAGGTCACGAAGAGTCGGAAGCAACTGAACAACTAATCAACAACAGTCCATTAAACCCAATGGGAACCAGGTTGGAAAAACATATCTCCTTCACGGAGACAATGCTCCATTCCTGCAGTTTCTGAACCTGGAGGAGCTTTTCTTCCCCTCCACCTCAGATACCCTTTTTGGGATCATAATGAAATAAGCAAAGCTGGGCCATTTCCTCTCCCTCCTCTGCCACTCGTGCTCTCAGAGAAAATGAACATACACAAATGTATTGTTGAAGGCTTTCATGGCCGGAATCACTGGGTTGTTGTAGGTTTTATCAGGCTATATGGCCATGTTCTAGAGGCATTTTCTCCTGACGTTTCGCCTGCATCTATGGCAAGCATCCTCAGAGGTAGTGAGGTCTGTTGGAACTAGGAAAAAGGGTTTATATATCTGTGGTTTATATATCTGTGTCCCACCCTGGTCATTCCACAGATATATAAACCCTTTTTCCTAGTTCCAACAGACCTCACTACCTCGGAGGATGCTTGCCATAGATGCAGGTGAAACATCAGGAGAAAATGCCTCTAGATCATAGCCATATAGCCCGAAAAAACCTACAACAACCCAACATACACAAAAGTTCTAGGCTTGATGTTAAATTGAATATTGAACTTCCTTTGAGAGACAGCTGTGAGGTCTTGGATTGCAGAACCTGCCTGGGCAGGTCCAGGTGACGCCGAACACCCCAGCTGTGCTTTCCTTCAAAGCAGCGTTTCCTACCATGGATTCTTCAGGCAAAGTCGTTTTTCATAATACGCCTTGTGTTCCTCCCCCGCCTTGTAATTTCTCCCTCTTCCTTCCTGGCCCATCGAGTGCTTCTGGACTCGGACTTGACACTTCTTGCCCTCTTTAATGCCCGGGCTGGGAGCCAGTGCGCTGTTTTTAGCCGCGCATCTCTTCTCCGCACCCCCTCCTCCTCCCCTCTCCATTGCTGCCCCAGCCAAGTTGGCTCTGTTGTCCACAGATGTTGCTCTGGTTACGTGGGCAACTGTTGCATACCTACACGGATTAAAAATAAATGCCCTTGTTTACTCTTGGAAGTGGAGCAGTACAAAGCAACCCAGTCTTTTGCTCTGCCCAGGATACATTTTCTCTAAAGTTGCACTCTTTGGACCGGGGCAACCAAAGTTGAAGACATATTTGGACCTCCGTATCCACAGATTCTGCACCCATGTATTGCACAACAGCTTGACATTTTAGAAAACTCCAAAAAGCAAACATTTGCCATTTTATATAAGGGGCACCATGTGTCTGCTCCACTATACTTAAGGGGGCTTGAGTAACCATAGATTTCATTATCCATAGGGGTCCTGGATCCAAATCCCAACGAATACCAAAAGGCTATTGTCGGGCATGGGCAAACTTTGACCCTCCAGCCTACCAGCTGTTAGGAATTGTGGGAGTTGATGTCCAAAACATCTGGAGGGCCAAAGGTGGCCTTTATTTGTTATTATGCTCATGTTAGTTCACAATAATAATAATAATAATAATAATAATAATAATAACAATAACAACAACAACAACTTTATTTATACCCAGCCACCATCTCCCCAAGGGACTCGGAGCGGCTTACATGAGGCCAAGCCCAACAACACATCAATAAAACAAGAAAGCATAAACAAAAACAATACAATGCAATAAATTAATCTAAATCACATATAAACAATAACACACAAGGATTTAAAAACCTATGGCCGGGCTGTAGTTTCTGTAGAACAGTGGTTCTCAACCTGTGGATCTCCAGATGTTTTGGCCTTCAACTCCCAGAAAGCTTAACAGCTGTTAAATGGGCTGGGATTTCTGGGAGTTGTAGGCCCAAACGCCTAGGGACCCACAGGTTGAGAACCACTGCTGTAGAGTGAAAGGGTTTGTTTTATTAATGCTGTTACACATACACCCTTGTTCATTGCTCTACTAGAAAATTATCTCCATTTTGGCCTTGTTCAATATTTATGTAGTTACACATACATTTGTACGCTACTTTTCTCTCAGCACGGGACCCAAAACACCTTACAATATCCTAAAGCAAAAATTAAATTTGAGCAGGGTTTATTTAAAAGAAATCAACAATAATTCTATTTTGGAAGCACGTGGGTAAAGCTGTTTAAGACATGATGAACACACAATGAAGTTGTATTGTCGAAGGTTTTCATGGCCAGAGTCACTGGGTTGTTGTAGGTTTTTCGGGCTGCATGGTTTCTGTAATGCTTCTAGAACAGTGGTTCTCAACCTGTGGATCCCCAGGTAGCCACAAAACCAACATGTGGCCCTCAAGCCATGTGTTGCTTACTCTAGTACAGTGGTTCTCAACCTGGGGTCCCTAGATGTTTTTGGCCTACAACTCCCAGAAATCCCAGCCAGTTTACCAGCTGTTAGAATTTCTGGGAGTTGAAGGCCAAAAACATCTGGGGACCCCAGGTTGAGAACCACTGTTCTAGAACATGGCCATACAGCCTGAAAAACCTATAACAACACAATGAAGTTGAATTTACAGTTAACTGTCTACATTTGTACGTTTAACTTTTGTGGATTTGATTGTTCACAGATTTGATTAATATGAGCTCTCAGGGAATTGCTAGGTCCTGCAGATCAGTGTCCCCCAAAAATTGAATTTAGTCATGCTGGTGGACCTAGAGAGAACTCTTACCTAGACCTTTATAGGTCTTTTGTTGTAATTCCATGGTCAAGTTCTATCAGAAGTTGACCATGGAGTTCTGTGGGAGATCCTTGAGATCTCGGAAAAGAACAGTTCTCCAATGGAGTTCTCTAGGTTCTCCAGCATAAAGACCATAGAATTGTACCAGAGGGCTCTGATATTCTTTTATACATCTTCCATAAAGATGTATAAAATCCCAGATTATCTGCTTTGAACTGGGTTATATAGCAGTGTAGACTCAAATATCCCAGTTCAAAGCAGGTATTGTGGATTACCTGCCTTGATATTCTGGGTTACATGACTGTGTGCAAGGGCCCTTAGAGAGAACACTTATGCAGGAATCTCTAGAGTCTACAGTGCCATATAATCCAGTTCAAAACAGGTAGTCCAGATTCAGAAATTGGATTATATGGTAGTGTAGTTCCAGCCTAGGTTCTCCAGAATGATGACTATAGATTCACAGTGGAGGACCTAGAGGGGTTTTGCAATTGACTAGAACCTAGAAGAGAATGAGATGGCCCATTGCCAGAATTTTTATAATATGGAGTCCTGTGTCATGTAGCCATTGCGATATAGTGATTTGAGCATTGGACTTCAACCCTGGAGACCAATGTTCAAGTCCCATCTTGGCCATGAAATCCACTAAGTGACCTTCGTGATGACAACTATCATCTCTTAACCTCGGGGCAGTGGTTCTCAACCTGTGGGCCCCCAAGTGTGTTGGCCTACAACTCCCACAAATCCCAGCCGGTTTACCAACTGTTAGGATTTTTGAGAGTTGAAGGCCAAAATATCTGGAAACCCACAGGCTGAAAACCACTTCCTCAGGGGAAGGCATTGGGAAAACACCCTCTGATAAAATCTTGCCTAGAAAACCCCATGATAGGGTCACCATAGAACCGGTGATGCCATTTCACTGAGTCTTCATTATATGTTTGCAAGTACCGTATTTTCTGGCGTACTAGACGACTGGGTGCATAAGATGCCCCCCCCCCCCCCCAACGTTTCAATTTAAAATTTCAATTTTTGGATATATTTGGATATATTCTTGCCAACCCCTTCAGACCCCGAAGCCTCCTTTTCTAGGTATTTTAATTCCAGACATGTCTTTGCGAAGCTCATCCAGTTTGGACATTTGGTGGGCAAACCATCTTGGCCAAAATAAATACAAAGTGAACCATTGTCAGATAATTGATGCCAATGTTGCTTCCAGACAAAACGCAAGTGGACTAAATGTTGTTTTTGCTGTTGTCTCCCCTTTCGTATTGCCCAGGATCTGAAGAAGTATGGTGCAACAACAGTCGTGAGAGTGTGTGAAGTAACTTATGACAAGACTCCACTGGAGAAGGATGGCATTACTGTGATGGTAAGCAACTTAGCCTGAGATCGTTGGCTCAAATCTAGCTTGCTTGCTGTAAGCCTGCATTGGAACTTGGCTTGTTTATTGAAACCTGTATTGAAAGTTACCATGGTTACTATTATAGCCCTTATTGGAATTTAGTTTGTTGCAATCCCGTATTGGAATTTAGTTTGCTTATTTGAATCTGTATTGGCACTTGTCTTGTTTATTGTAACCCTATATTAGAACTGAGCTTACTTTTTGTATCTCCTATATAGGTTGAGTGACCCTTATTGAAAATTTTTGAGATCAGAAATGTTTTGGATTTTGGAATATTTGCATATTAATAGTGAGATTCTTGGAGATGGTCTCAGCGTGAAAATTGTTTATATTTTATAGCCTAGGCATGGGCAAACTTGGGCCCTCCCACAACTCCCAGCTGTTAGGAATTGTGACAGTTGAAGTTCAAAACACCTGGAGGGCCAAAGTTTGCCCATGCCCATAGCTAGATAAGCATAGTCTAAATGTAATTTTATGTAATACTTGATGCTTTCTGTGGTTACTTGGTGCTGTCTGTGGTTGCAGAGCTTTGCTATACAGCAGTGGTTCCCAACCTTGGGCCTCCAGGTATTTTGGATTTCAGCTCCCACAGTTCCAAACAGCTGGTAAGCTGGCTGGGATTTCTGAGAGTTGAAGTCCTGGATGCCCAAAGGTTGGGAACCACTTCTGTATTCTAAAATGACAAAAGTTGGAAAGGCCCTTGACCCCACCATGGGCTCAGTTTAGAAATTTCCCAGGAGAGGTTAGGTATGTTAACCTATTGCAGGAGGAACTGGCTCAACAGCAGTACGTGTGAAAAAGATCTTGGAGTCCTCATGGATAACAATTTAAACACGAGCCAACAATGTGATGCGGGAGCTAAAAAAAGCCAATGGGATTTTGGCCTGCATCAATAGGAGCCTAGTATCTAGATCCAGGGAAGTCATGCTACCCCTCTATTCTACCTTGGTCTGGGCACCGCAGACCAAGCTGGAATGTGTCCAGAGGAGGGCAACTCAAATGCCCTATGAGGAGCGGCTTAAAGAGCTGGGCATATTTAGTCTGCAGAAGAGAAGGCTGAGAGGAGACATGATAGCCATATATAAATATGTGAGGGGAAGTCATATTGCACAAACCCTTCCCGATCTAGTCTAGTATTTGATTACTTTGTAGTCTTTGGGATGGTTGATGATGTTAGTGTATTCTGTTTATGTTCTATGATCTTGTTTTTATAAATATCACTGTGCTATGTTTTAGTTCTGTGTTTGACCGGGCTTGTCCCCATGTAAGCTGCCCTCAGTGCCTTCAGGGAGATGGTGGCAGGATACAAAAATAAAGTTGTTGTTGTTGTTATTATTATTATTATTATTATTATTATTATTATTATTATTATTATTCTCTGGGGTCTACACTACCATATAATCAAGTTCAAAGCAGATAGCGCAGATTCAGAAATTGGATTATATGGCAATGTAGATCCGGCCTAGGTTCTCCAGAATGATGCCTATAGACCAGGCATGGGCAAACTTTCTAATTTGAAGGCCATATGCTAGCACTCCCTGCTAGGAGGACTGGCTGTCTGGTGATGGATGGATGGAAAAAAGGGAAGGAGGGAAGGAGAAATGAAGGACAGAAGGGAAGGATGAAAGGAGAAAGAGAAAAGGAGGGAAGGAAGGAAAGACAAAAGGGAAGGAAGGGTAGAAGAGAAGGAAGGAAGGAAGGAAAAGGAAGGAAGGAAAGAATAAAGAAGAAAGAAGGAGGGAAAGGAAGAGAAGAGGGAAGGAGAAAGAGGGAAGGGAGGGAGGGAAGGAATGACGAAAGTGTGGATGGGAAGGAAGGAAGAAGGAAGTAAAGAGAGAAGAAAGGAAGGATGAGAGAGATGAAGGGAATGGGGAGGGGGAAAGGGGAGGGAGGAAAGGAAAGGAAGGAGGAAAAATGGAAAGAGAGAAAGAAGGACAAAAGGAAGGAAGGGAATGGAGCGAGGGAGAAAGAGGGAGGGAGGGAGGAAAGAGGGAAGGAAGGAGAAAGAGAGAGGGAAAGAATGATGAAAGTGTGGAAGGGAAGGAAGGAAACAGAAGAAAGGAAGGACAAAGGGAGGAAGGGAATGGAGGGAGGGAGAAAGGAGGAAAGGAAAGGAAGAATAAGAGACAAGGACAAAAATACGGTAAATTGGATGGAGAGATTTAAGCAAATTAATGATAAAGAGGATATATGGCAGAATGACTCAACGTTTGAATTAAATGATTAAGTGATAAATTAAATGATATAATACTGAATGAATGATGTGATTACTGTAACGTTATTTATGAAATAGAATTCCTTAATGAGAAAGAGGAAGATAGTTTCATGAATTATTTAATATGCTAGAGAGCTCTTAGAGAAGGAAGGAAATAGAGAGAGAAGAAAGGAAGGGAGGAAGGGAATGGAGGGAGGGAAGGAAAGAAAGGAAGGACGGAAGGGTGGTAGGGAAGGAGAAAGAGGGACGAAAGGAGGAAGGAAAGGGAGAAGAAAGGAAGGTTTGGATGGTGAGAGAGAGGAGGGCCTGTCCCCCTGGCCTGGGTTTTCCCGTACCTGCCATGAAGAAATACACAGAGTGAAGTCGTGGAAAAAGAGAAAAGTGGGATGCTGAGCATAGGATCAGGCATGAAGATGGTTTTCCTCTACCAAGTTGTCTTGGCCCCTGTGTGACTGAATCATGAATGAGATGGAGATGTGCACGTCTCCAAGCAGGAACGCCCCATTTCCAAAGCAGGTGTAGATGGAAATGCCCAATGGGCTGGTCGGCTTAACCTTCCACAGGGAGCCATAAAACATGTTTAAAGGGCTCTCAAAGGCCCAAGTTTGTTTTGAGTAAGGCCAGCTGCTTGTCTTACCCACTATGATTATCTCATATGGAATGCATGAAATTATGACGCTTGCGAGTTCCTCGTTTCAGCAGTTGGCTCGGCTGTTTCAAGCCGTCAGCAAAAAAGAAACGCCCGAATGCACAGAAAAAATAGACAGATTTGGCAAGTGCTTGTTTTGCCCTCTTTAATTAGAAATAATTAAAGGCAGCGTTGGATGCGATCTTATGTGCTTATGGCGAGGGATGGGGCAGGAAGAGCTTTTCGGGCTCTCCAAGGCTAGAATCTCTACTTGCATTTCAGGTGGGACTTTTTGGAGCTTATAGATAATTGCACGGTATCTGAAACCGTAGTGCTTCAACTGAAGTTGTAAATTCAGGCTTCCTACCTTTATTGTAGTGGTGGGGATGGTAAGCCATGTGGTTTGTATGTGCCTACAGGTTGCCTGTTGACTTATGGTGACCCCATGAATTTTATAGGGCTTTCTTAGGCAAAGACTGCTCAGAGATGGTTTTTCCAGTCCTCGGACGTCTGGCTTATGGCACTTGGTATTAATGGGAGATTGCCAATAAATACCAGGTGCTTTAGCTTATATTTCAGAACCATTTCTGATCATTTGTTGCATTAAGAAAAAAATATAAAATGCATGGGGTTACCAAAATTTGAATACACACCACCATCATCATAGGTGATCAGTTGTGCCCAAATATCTTCATCTTCTAAGGCAGCGTTTCTCAACCTGTGGGGGTCTTGAGGGGTTCTCAGAGGGGTCGCCAAAGACCATTAGAAAACACAGTATTTTTATTTATTCTGTTGGTCATGGGGATTCTTTGTGGGAAGTTTGGCCCAATTCTATCATTGGTGGGGTTCAGAATGCTCTTGGATTGTGGGTGAACTACAAATCCCAGCAACTACAACTCCCAAATGTCAAGGTCTATTTTCCCCAAACTCTACCAGTGTTCACGTTTGGGCATGTTGAGTATTTGTGCCAAGTATGGTCCAGATCCATCCTTGCTTGAGTCCACAGTGCTCTCTGGATGTAGGTGAACTACAATTCCAAAACTCAAGGTCAATGCCCACCAAACCTTTCCAGTATTTTCTCTTGCTCATGGAAGTTCTGTGTGCCAAGATAGGTTCAATTCGATCATTAGTCAAGTTCAAAATCCTCTTTGGTTGTAGATGAACTATAAATCCCAGCAACTACAACTCCCAAATGACAAAATCAATCCCTCCCAACCCCACCAGTATTAAAATTTGGGCGAATTGGGTATTTGTGCCAAATTTTGTCCAGTGAATGAAAATACATCCTGTGTGTCAGATATTTACATTACAATTCATAACAGTATCAAAATTCCAGTTATGAAGTAGCAATGAAAATAATGTTATAGTTGGGGGTCACCACCACATGAGGAACTCTATTAAGGGGTCACGGTACTTGGAAGGTTGAGAACCACTGCTCCAGATGTGATCTAAACCAGTGGTTCTCAACCTGTGGGTCCCCAGATGTTTTGGCCTTCAACTCCCAGCAATCCTAACAGCTGGTAAACTGGCTGGGATTTCTGGGAGTTGTAGGCCAAAACACCTGGGGACCCACAGGTTGAGAACCACTGGTCTAGGTGATGGGTGAGGACATAGATTTCCAGATGGAAGGTAGTCCCAACAAGGGTTTGCTTGATGCTTCTTCCTCTTGGCAGATTTCTTCCTTTCCCCCTCCATTTGTGCTTCTCCAAAATGCATAGCATTGTTGGTAACATCTGACCTCCAGTTCCAACACTTGAGGGTCAAGACTTCCCAGTTCTCACTGTTTATTCCACATTTAAGATTATCTTGAAGCCCATCTTTAGACCTCATTTGTTGTCCACTGATATTCCTTTTCCCATTCTTGGTAATTATTTATTTCATATCAAAAGCATTGCATAAATCAGTATAAAACTGATAAAAATAGAAGGAGAGCAGGCGGCTAAATATCTTTTGACCAAAAACGGGCAACAGCAATGGCATTGTCTGTAGCCTCCAACAATTCCTCCGCTGTACATGAGGCAGGGCACAATGGAGAAAACAGTAAATAAATAAATAAATAATAAATACTTTGTTGTATTTTATACGGTTGCACTATTGAGTGCTTTCGGGAGCCGCCCTGAGTCC